AGCCGCCTGAAGAGGAACCGACAGGAAAATGACATATGTAACGAACCTTTGTCAAATGGCAACGATAAAGGGTCACCCGTAGGTACCATGTCGATATAATGGCGCCTGACGGGAGAAGGGGGTTGGACTCCTAATCTATCAAGATATACAGCACCGATCATAATCTCTAGGCTCTTTGTTACCATATTGTGCTCTAGGCAGTTCTTAGCCGAACTGGCAAACTTCTACATATCGACCCAAGGGGAAGTCATACGGTATCACGAGCTACGTCTGGCTAGCTCGTATTTCCAGCGACACACAGGGCCTGAGACAGTACTCCAGTAATGGCAGAATAAATCAGGGATATGCTATGAAACTCGCTCTTCTGATAAACGCTATTACACTTCGCGGTGCCGCAATTTCCTAACGACCACCTCGGGTTTGCTTCTCACAGATCTCTCCCTAATTCGTACTCAGGTAGTAAGATAATGCTCTCAGCCACCCGCTCATCAGTGCTGACGGCTTGAATCAACGCAGCCATCTTGCTCGATAGCGATGTAGAGCTGATTTTGACCACACTTGATGACCTCACCGCCATATAATGGCTGGCCGCTCGAATCGGTTGTCTCCCAAGCCGATGTAATCAGTGCAAGGACATAACCAATTCCGATCCTACTTCAAAAGAGTCAGAAGGCTCTTCTACCACAGTCACAGATAAGAGAGTAGAGTGGATCGCGACAAACGGCGACTTACTCGGTCGGAATCTGCTCTGTGCCTGTGGCCCACCATTGACAAGTTTTATAGCCATAGAGCATGTATGGTGGCATACTAAAGTCGTCCTGAAGCCATCCATCCGTAACCCACTGTAACAACTTCAGTCAGTAATTACTCTTCATGGGAAGTTGCTAGTGTGTCGAGAAACTTTGGATCATATTTTTCGAGCTCATGAGGAACTGACTCCCGAGGAACTTAAGATAAGATAGAAAACAGCTCGAGGAAAGTCTTACATAGCCTTGATGAATGGTAGCAATCCTGCGTGACGGCGGGAGTGGAGTCGGGGGCGTTGGGTCTGTCACGGAACTTCTGAAACTGGCCGCGGAATTCTTGTTGTCCTGTTGGTTTCCAGTCGGCATGCCATCCTCGCTTTTGCAGGGCAGAAGCGTAGGGCTCGGGGTTGACAGCAAGGGCTTCGATTGCAGCCGAGAAGAAGCCAACAACCAACAAGATTGCCAAGGTAAGAAGCTTCATCATGTCGAACTTGGACGGAATATATTTGTGTATTAGGGATGTGTTCTTAGTCGCTGGTGAATGCCCAGTGATTGACGGAGGTGGTGAACCTAGCAGAGAGGGTTACCGATAGTTGCTGTGAGGGTTCTAGCTTGGAATCGAACGGAGTCCGCCCTGTACTGGTAGAGTATTAAATAGGGAGCTTGGGAAATTCAGCGTTGAATTATGCAAGCGTCTGATGCTTGGTCTACACAAATGCTGCCTTGCATCATTGATCTACAACGTTGTGGTACTGAATTGATTATAGGAATTAACAAGGATGACAGCACAATCACTCATTCCGAAGCACATTCACCGCCTTAGCAAGATGATTGACCTAGTGTAGTAAATAGGTTCATCCCAACTATCGGGTTCTCATTAAGTGGTGGTATTGACAATCATAGGTACGGTACGATAAGTAAAGGTTTGAAGGCTACTCAATGCGGTGCGTCACACTGCTCGTCTTCCCTTGTCCCTTGCTTTTTCCTCGTAACGTCACAAATAACTTGTGTCATGGCTACCTCCGGACATGTTACACGGGTCCCCTCTGCCATCATCGCATCAATCTAAAGTGTTGTGGCAGCAGTTCTCCAAAGCCACCCGCTAGTGGAGTCTGTGTAGTCATCAGAATGGTAAAAGGCTTTCCTGGGACTACCTGTGTTATCCTAATCTATAATTAGGATATTTATAGTTATAATCCTGCATCTCAACCAATACGCAAAGTGTCAGATTAGATTAGAGAGTGTTAATCGGGCTGACCGATGTCACAGATGGCTTCTGAATACAAAGAAGGATATGACTCGGGCATTAACAAACTCCATTGCATGTCCTTGATCTCATGAAACGGTCGATTCACTGGCCACTGGCAATCAATTGCCGACCTATTTGTGTTGTTTTACAAGTCACAGCTACACAAGTGCACCACCATTGATAGTTGGGTCGTGTTTGCGTTCTCAAATGCTATGTCACACAAGGTAGATCGGTGTATATCAGGACTAATGGGTGCTTTGCCTATCAGCTCGAGCCACTCATGTGCATAGCGATTATCTTTAATCGCTGATCATCAGTCTTAGGGTATCTCGAGCATAGTTGGTAGCCTTCGAATGCCCCGAAATATAATTGAGAGGAGCTTACCCCTCTGGTGACCATCAAACCTGTTCCTTAGTTTTGTGCCATTCCCCTATCCACAAGACTTCAAGCCAGAGGATACGTAGCCACAACTGCATATAATGACGAATAGCGATGATTAGTGGCCACTGCCTGTAAATGCTTGTGACGGATATCGAGTTATTGCTCTGAATCATTTCGTCGTCAGAGAATGTGTTCCCTCGAAGATTCTTCATGATCACTTCATCTTTCATTGGACTACCTTGGATAATGTAAGATTCTAATATCTTTGTTTTGTAAAGGTAGTAGATGACTGTTGGTTTATTAATGCTCCTACTACTGAAGTGAGCAGCTCAGGTGAGGTCGTTGAGTTGGCTGAGTTGGATGTGTTGCAGCGATTCTTTTTTGAAGGTCATCTATCTTCCTCCTCGGCTGAGTTGATAAAGCGAGTGTTGTAGTGGTTGACTAAACAATGCGAAACTTCCACAAGCCCTCTTCAAAAACGAGACACAACTCTCTGTAATAAAGCCATCATGCCTATTCTCCAGGGTTGTCAGGTCTAAGACAGTCCTAGTTTCTCTTCCAGAATTCTCTGTTTCGCCGGGGTTCAATCTTTCGAAGTCGTGGAGTAAAAATAATAGCGTGGCAAAATTCCCGCTAAGTATAATCCTATGTTTAGCTTTGGAAAATCAACACCTTTCACGTGTCGTCAGAGGATATCACCTCGGCATACATAGGGCTGAATTCCTTCCCTTACCCAATTACTTACGTGTAAATCGCCTTCAAGCAACTGAAAACGGCGAACAAACAATGTTAATCCACGTAATTGAGTACTATACAATAGTTGCCTTAGTGTTGGCCTCTACTAAATGCTCACATGGGGACCCTGTGCCTTTTCAAGTGCTTATGAATATCAGATTACATCCAAAGACAGCCCGTTTACATGTCTAGAAAATGATAACCGCAAATGTAAATCCAAATAAATGGCGTAACGAATCTTAGTTGTTCGATTCTAAAATGTAACCAAGTTGTGGTACCGAGTAGGTCCGTGTAAGTCAACCAACAGGTTGGCAACTTGGAAGCCTGGAGTCCTTATTATATGTCATCACTCAATGGCAGACTCCAGCGGCGGTTTGAGCAATTTATTCACCAGTCTTCCCATTTATCGTCTACTTCTCAGTCCTATATCGCACATCCCTGGTCCTAAGCTTGCAGCGCTTTCGCGCTGGTACGAGCATACTACGATATAGTAGAGGGCGGAAGATACACATTCAAGATCAAAGAATTGCACGAAAACTACGGTAATGAATTCAACTGCGCAGATCATTCCACGGTGCGTACAGTTTTACTAGAAGCCAATAAGCTACAGGGCCAGTTGTGCGCATCAGCCCGTATCAGATCCACGTCAACGACCCATCATTCTTCGAGCAATTATATCGCCAGGAGTGCCATGGGACAAGCACGCATGGGCAATAGATGCCTTCTCAGCCTACGGCGCAACAATTTTCACAGAAGATCATGCTATCCATAAGGCACGGCGACAACCTCTTTTGCGGCACTTCTCGAAAGCAACAATCGTGGCACACCACGGCATGATTAGAGGCTACCTATATCTTGGGAAGCGGCATTCCCCACATCCGGCGAGACAGTGAACCTCGGCCCTGCCGTTTCGGCATTTATCCGCGACGTGGAAAAGGGTTTCATGCTGGGTAAATGCTACGGCAGTCTCGAGAAGGAGGATTTCAACATCGAGCTCAGGACCATCGGGGAGGGCGGTGGGTGGCATGGCGCATCTCCAAACACGTCCGGTTCTGGATTCACATGTTCAAAGCTATACCCGTTACGTTCGTCATGAAGTATGGTGACACCACGCTGAAGCAGTTCTTTGGCTACCTACAAGAAATCGAGAGGGAGACAGAACGGCTCTTGAAAGAGGCTATATCGTCTACAGACGCAGCAAATAATTGCAGTATAGCCCATGAGATGACGAAGTCGAAGCTACCACCGGCTGAGAAGTTGTACTGGGGGATCTTCGACGATGTGTCGACTGTGACGGGTGCCGGAGTCGACACTACAGCGGCCGCTCTGAGGCTGATATTCTTTAGTGTTTACAGCAATCCGGTGATCTTGGGTCTACCCCGAGCAGAGGACGACTTTCGATATCGAGCAGCGACGACCGAAAACTCCCTCCTCGACAGCGATGTCTCCGCTACTGGCACAAAGAGCAATGGTGACTGAAACGCAAATGTAAACATTCGGAAGGTGTAAAAGATAGGTGTTTTGTGGTAGTCCGTCGACATAATCCGTTGGGTAGCAAAGCAGGACTCCAACCAAGGTTTTGAAACCTGTCACCAACAAGATTTCATAGCCACGAATGAGATTTATGCCGTGCACGTGAGTTGGCCATCGAGCTAGCAAGAATGGAGTGATTGCTTACTGGCATGGGAGCAGGTGTGGAAAGTATGTCTTATCGAGACTAGATGGCAACAGTGTCTGCCACTCATACCTACTAGAAATGCAAGAAGTGTATTCGATGGACCATTAAACCTGACGGAAACGCGAAGAAAGAAAAAGAAGTATATGATGAAGAGAGAGAGAGTGAGCTGCAAAAGGATACGGGGAAACTGAAAACTGAAACAAAGCAAAAATGCATTGACCGGGAATCGAACCCGGGGCCTAAGCAGAACTCATCGAATGGGAAGCTTAGATGTTACCATTACACCATCAATGCTAAGCTGTGCACGGCTCGTGTACGAGACCGTCCATTCGAATTAGTGGAGTAACCAGTAATAGAGTATATATAGTCAAATCTCTCACTGCGAGATGTTGTGATTCACAGCGGACGCCAAAGACCAGGGAAAGGCGGGGTAAGTTCCAGCGGCTGCTAGCGTGTCAATGGGCAAGTCCAGTACCGAGAGTACCTAAAGTTGTGGGTTGTCCATCAAACAGCTGGAGGGGTCGCAATCAATTGACCCACAACCTCTCGACGATGCGTCGCAGTGCGGCGGGATGGGAGCCGCCCGCAAACTCGCAGATCGAACCCCACCAACAGCTCTGCCAACGGACTCAGACTCCAACCTCACAAACACCACATACCTGCATTCGAGCACATATATAACCGATAGACCCTGTTTACCTCCAGACTGTCAACTGTATCTCAAGAGAAAGTGACAGCAAATCATTTCACTTGGCCTGTCCGACAGAGCCAGAGAGCGCCACGTCAGCAATGGCCAGCAAAGGCAGCGACAAGATCGACAAGATCATAGCCCGCCTGCAGTCACGCATCAGCGAAGGCGCATTCTACGAAGCCCAGCAGCAGACCCGTGTTGTTGCCGCTCGATACACAAAGGCCTCCAACTGGTCCGCCGCTGTCGACATCCTCTACAATGTCGCCCAGTCCCTGCTCAAGGCCGGCCAGGGCGGCAGCGGAGGCGATCTCTGCGTTCTACTCGTCGACACCTACAAACAGGCCGAGCTCAAGCCTGATTCCGCCAGCAAGGGCAAGCTGCTTACCTGCTTGCGCCTGTTCGACAGCGACGAGCCCACACGAAAAAAATACATCGGCGAGATAATAGCGTAGGTGCATCATCTATCTGCTCAAGTGTCCCGAGAGCTACAAGACTACATGTACAGAAGCTGACTCCAGTGATCTGCAAGGTGGTCCTCCAAATTCGGCGAATACCCAGCAGGCGATCCCGAGCTACACCACGTAGCCGGCTCCCTCTACGCAGAAGAGCATGAGGCCTACGACGCCGAACGCCATCTCGTCCTGGGCACCAAGGACTCTGCCGAGGTTCTGGCCCGCATGGAGTATGAATGGTTCAAGGAAGACGATGCCCACACCGCTGCCACATACGCCGGCCGAGCCGTCCTACCCTATCTGATAACGGCCAATGTGCGAGCTGCCAACACCTCCTACCGCGTCTTCACCAGTGCTCTCAACGAGGACAGGTCGGCCCAGCTGGGCGTGCAGGACGTGAGCAGCAACAGCGCCGATATTCGCATCTACCCCAGCATACCGCTCCTCAACTTCCTCGGACTCTTACTGCTGGCCATCCAGAGAGGCAGCGCAGACCTGTACAGACAGCTGGCGGCCAAGTACGCGGGCCATCTGAAAGAGCTCGAGATGTGGAACGAGGCGCTGGAGATGATCGCCGAGATGTACTTCGGCATACAGAAGCCTCGGCAGAGCAACCCCCTGATGGACATGATGAGCGGGTTCTTTGGTGGGAGTGGTGCACCCGCGGGCGGGAGCTCCAAGAAGCCTGCTGTAAAGGGACCGACGCCGATGCCAGCGGCGGAGGGCCTGGACTAGCTGGTCCAGAACCTGTATCTCTAAGGCAGGGTGTTCGTAGAAGGATGCAGTATAGAGACTACTACTTAGTTTAAGACAAGTGTTCCTTCGGGACTATATTTCAACGGACGGGCGCCTGCTCCTCGGCCTCGTACATCCAGTTGTCGTCAGCTAACGCAGCGACCTTGGCCCTCATGCTGGCTCGTAAAGCCTCCAGTACTTCTTCTTCCACGTTAGCGGTGATTCGTGATTAATACGTTGCGCGAAACTAGGGGATGCGATGCGCAAACCTTCGGGCTGTGCGGGTATGCGGGTGCTCATCTGATGCTGCCGGACCAGCTCGGCCAGCTTGCGTCTCTCGCCTGTATGCACACACGATGGTCAGTCAGGAACTGAACATGGAGGATCGTCTTTGTGTGGCGGCTCGTACGTTCATTCTCCTGTACATCATCAAGCGCGGGGTCTTCTTCGGCATCGTCGAGGGGAGGCGTGGGCGGGTCGCCGACCTCGAACTCGCCGTTCTGGTCGCGGATGACGATCTCTGAGGCGTCGGAGAGAGCTTGAGGATCGAGGCAGACGGTCTCGGCTGGATTGGATGATAAGAACGTGATGTCTGGTGGGGTGGAAGATGGTGTGAGCTCTGTACCTGGAGCATTGGCGTCTGCCGACGACGTTGGGCGGCGGGTGAGCTGCGATGTGAACAGATTCCGTCGCACGCCGCCTCCTGTGGTGGTCGCGGCGGCCCGCGTGATGCGACTGGTGGGCTGTCGCAGGTTCTGTGGTGGCGCTCGGCCAGCCATGGTGCGATGTGCTCGTACGAGGACGAGGAGAGGGCGCCGTGTAGGGTGTGACGAATTGCAAGTATGTCGACCGCAGTGAGGGGCACGCGGGCAGGATTGTATTGTTGTAGGGGAACTCTATCCACACGAACGCGAGATTTCTTCGACTCTGCAATGGAGTGAGGATGCACCGTGAGGTATTGGATCTTGAGCCAATGTGCGGGAGAAAGGTAACTTGCGTTGGAACATTCATTGACTCCCGTCGGTACTACGACTCACGACGTTGGACGGCAGCCAACTAGCCCACCGACCGTCCAGGTTAGCCAGTATCTAGCCGCTGGGTTCGGGTTGCATCTCCACGGCTGACCTAAATTGCCTGTTGTCTTACCAAAGGTCATATGGCACCATCTAGCAATTTGATACCGACCCAACGCAACCCGAGTACTGTGCAGTCAGCTTTCTACGGTATTTTGGGACGTCACGAGACTTGATATACTCCGCGTTCAACATGTGGTTACCATACTCCAGACTTTTCGTTAGAAAAACAAACTCAATAAATATCAGCTGGCATCTTCGTGTTGATACGCCCTAAACATGAAGGAAAAAGACTATATTTAGTGCGAAACATGAGTTCATTCTAGTTTCCTGGATTGTCTGGCCATACAAGCCTCAGCAGACTCTCTGTATACTGTCTCGTGTGCCACGATAAGTGTGTAGCTGTCAGATTCTGTGGGGTATGTAGACATGGAAACGATCAAGTTTGGTGCCAAATACTCGAAGCTATTATGCCGTGAGCCGTGAGACTGTAGACCCAGGACTGCCAGATGCGAATACACCCATCGTAACACTCATCACGTTACACCTTTGCTTTGCCAAGATGGGAAGAGGCGTAGAAAAATGATAACATGCATCACTTACATGGTTGCTTTCATGCCTTATTCACCTAATTGAAGCCCTATGATAAACAGGATTCATATATTATGCATTAATCTCACTGTAGAGCAGAAGATAGCATGCATCCGCTGAGAATTTTGACTTCAATGGCAACGTGGACATGGCCAAAGCAGAAGAACAGAATCAAGCTGGAGTTGTCAGTGGCTCAGCCTACCCTATCGCCACCCGTGGTGTCGCGCTTTGTCGCCAGCAACCCACTGAAAGTTGAAACAGCCACCAACCTGCAAAGACAAAGAGAACGATTAGAGAACTTGAAGGCGCGATCCTTCGTATGCGCGGGAGTGCTGGGGTACGTTTCTGTTCCCGGAGATATCAAAATTCATTATATCGCTCTGGGCGTCGTGGACAATGGAATCGATTTGACGCGAAGATGTTTGAGCCCGTCTTCAATATCCAGCCCATTGGCCGCTTCACGGGTGAAAGTGAGCCTGTGAAGCGACCCAGGGTAAGTTTCTGTGAAACCTCAACGATGGGATCTAGCTGTCCGCCCTGGTCGACTCCCGGAATGTGCGACTAATCATGCTGTAGGAAATCGCCTGTTTTTCGTACGACGACAAGCACCAATTTCGTCTAGACGATTCTTCATTGCAATGGTACTATCCCCCAAGAATAGGCGCAGATCTATCCAGAGGCTTCGACAGCTTTGATAAGCATGATGACTCCGGGGATGAGCATCTCGATAGTCTGCTAAAGACCATCGCCGCACATGAGCGCGAAGAAGGCAAAAAGATAGATGCGCATGTCGTCACATGGCGTGGAATGATGACAAAGGTTGTTCCTAAACCTTCGCAGTTTACAGCTCGTTTCTAACTCGCAATGATAGATAATGTCTGCTCCCTTTGAGGATCGAGATGGGTGAGCAAATATCAGCTGGAAAGTAGTGCCTACGTGCCTAACTATCGTGTTCATGTCAGCTTCGAAATGAACGCTACATTATACCAAGTGCGCCAACCAAAGTGCCAAACTCTGAGTGCGCCCATGTGCTGATGTCTATCTCAAAGGACTGCCTGTATGACTCAATACGTCACAAGTAATACTGATAACGTCTATCTAACTGTCAGTACAGCTTCATCGAAGAAAACCACGAATATAAGCAAGCCAGCAAACAAGAACAGAATAGACAACAGCAAGGCCGACGGGGACAGTTTTCTCCCGAGATGATGACATATTGGGGTATAGACAACGCTGGGAAACCATTTGGATTTGCGTATAGGCTAACTGCGCTACTAGGCTACAAGTTCGAGACGCTTTCATGCCTTCCTCGGCCCTGGGGCGAAGTAGACCGTGACTTTATCGAAAATCGCGACGAACACACTGTCAACAATAAAGCCCAGTACTGCTCGATAGTTCGAACAGGGTTGGGCAAGACGACTCTCTGTCTCGGCGGGGAAGTCGATGCCAGTACGCTTTTTGATAAACATCAAACCTTTCTATACACTTGCTAACGCAGACCTCCAGTATGGGACTCCAAACCCGTGCAAAAAGGCGCTCCTACAAACTGGGTAGAGCTCAAAACCAGTGCAGAGATCCGTGACGGCCGAGGCATGCACAACTTCGAGCGGAAATTGATGAAATTCTGGATCCAGTCATTTCTCCTCGGCGTCCCGAAAATCATTGTTGGGTTTCGCTCCCAAGGTGGTATCCTCACGAAAATCGAGGAGATCCAGACAGCCTCTATCCCCGAGACAGCGGCGAAACGTGGCG